TTATCTTCATCATGTCTGTGAAGCCTGCCATCTTTGAGAGGTAATCTTTTCCAGGACTTAAGTTTTGGGTTTGGATTTATTGATGAGCTGGGCTGAGCAGTGTATATTGGGATTTGGACAATCTCAAGATCCATTTCTTTAGGGATGTTTATGGGTTTATCAATAAGCATGAGGGACTGGGTATTTTGGTTCTGCTGTGGAAGGGGCTGTGAACAGGGAGTATTGTTTGAGTGTAAAGGTTCAGGGGTGTGAACTGGCTTGTGTGTGGAATGTTCAGGGGCCAAGATGATTTGGTTATTGTCTTCAACATGGCTATTAGAAGTTGGAGGAGGGTTTGCTTGTGGTGAGGGAGAGGGAATATCAGAATGAGATGGGCTTCTGGAGCTTGAAGCTGGCATTCCTGCCCAGTTGTAGATTTCAGGGGCTTTCATCCAGTCACTGTATTGCCCCTCCTTCAATTTTTTGGTTTTAATGTCCGCTAATCTGCTTGAGCACTCCTTGTCCAGATGACCAATGTGGCCACAATAATGGCAAAGGTTGACCAGCTTTTCGAACTTGAAGCCAACACTAACAGTCTGATTATCTAAACGGACTTGGGCGCATCTGGGAAGAGCTTCATTTAAATCCACTGAAACAAGAAGGCGTATGAGACGTCCTCCATGGCTACCCACACCGACAACCACAACATTATGCACTTCTTTAAAGACATTCCCAATTTTCAGCCCCACATCTGTGCTGAGCCAGTCGAGAGGGACATTGTATACCTGGACCCAGATATTCAGCTTAGAGAAAGTAGAATGAGAGGGAGATAAACCTTGATGCCATTCTGCTAAAATCAGGTATTGATTGTCGAAGATCCAATTAGTTCCCTTGGCAACTCGGAGGAGGTCATCTCTGCTCTGAAATATGAATTGAAAAAAGTTCGGACCAAGTTCTTTAATTTCCAAGCTATGTTGAAGCCTCCAATTGTGGCTCATTGTGCGTTTAACTCCAATCCAACTAGCTTTCCTGTCCCCTACTATTTTTCCGAACAGACTTCGGTTGCACTCATCAGCACTAATTTTGATGTCGTCTCGAGCAATGTCTATAAGATTGTGTTCACAGTCTAGGAGAGAGAAGCCTTGTAACCTTCTTGCCAAATCGTCGTCTTACCCTATACATGGCGGATTTCCCATGGGGAATGAGCAGCAATCTGAAACCCTAAAAACAAGAGATGAAAGGGAAGGAGAGAAAATCGATGCTCCGAAGCTAACCCACAAAGAAAGAGATCATCAAAGCTAACAATCTGCAACCCACACTGAAGCACTAGGGATCGCTCTCAAAGAGAGAATTGATATCTAGACTTTTCGATTTGTTTTTCTTTTTTTGTTTTTTTTAGGAATACAATCAAAAACTTTTATATTGATAGCCAATATGAAATCAAAATCCAAATAAATCTCCTATTTCCTAATTACAGATTTGTTTTCCAAATAAGAAAGGAAATGATTGTAATTTATTGGTCAAATTCAGATTTGGCTTGAGATAATTAGCCGTGAAAAAATGAAATCAATTTGTAAATTATTGTCATATTCAACTTTTGCTTGAAATACTTATGGTAACATGCTTCTTTGGAGGATTGAGGTAAAGGAAATATACACAATTCATTATCATGGGAACATTCTTTTTTTATTCAATTTTTTTACACGTAAAAAGTTTTTTATGTTAAATTTTTTACCCCAATCATGATTTAAATAGGAATGCTAATAAAAAATAATACAAAGTTTAATCATTAATGAAAAATTATTTACAAAATTTTATATACATATATATAAATTGCATGTTTCAACACAAAAATATATTTTTTTTACATATAGTTATGCAATATATACAACTTAAATAATAATTGAAAAAAAATAAATTAATTATAAATATTTCATTACGAAGTTATACAAATAACGTAATCAAATTGGTTATCAAACGAGACTAAAATAACAAAAGATATACTCAAAAAATTCACTAATCAGAGTAACTCATTTATTTAAGCATACCACAATATTCAGTTCACTATTCGACTAATCATGTATCCGATTACATTCGAAGTTATTCAAAGAATGGAGTCAAATCTATCTATATAAAATAAGAATAAGGTTAAATATTTTTTATAAATAGTTTCTTGCCAAACTCATTAATTTCATAATAAAAAGGCAAGTTTTGTATTATTTTTAAGTGTTTTCATATAAAAATAAAAATAAGCATTAAATACATTGTCATAATATCAATTGTCGTTTGCCATGCCATATTGTCAGTTTTTGCTGTAAAGAAGAATATTCTCGAGTTATGTGTTGTGTACATTTTAAATTTATTGAAAATCACACCATTTTAGTGATATCATAATCTATTCTTTTATGCTAATAATTTTGCTGAGTGTATTTTTGTCCTTCCTAGCAGATTTCATAAAATCACCAGTTTAAAACTAAAAACCCATTCTAAGTTTGGACAGACATGTGTATACAAAGTTGTTTAATTAGTATACAAAATTGAATTCTATAAATATATTTATTTAATTTTAAATTTATTTACATATTTTAAAATGATTACATAAATAAATAATACTAACGTTCATTAAATATTTTCATTTCATAAAAAAAAGACGTACAACTTCTATAACATTAATAAATAATATTAACATTATATGGCAACAAAGTTTCTAATAAAATAATAATTAAAATTTATATGGTGAACAAGAATAAGTAAAAATATTATTTTCTCTTATATCAAGGAGTAAATATATATACTAAAACCAAATTTATATTAACATAAATGTGTTAGTGAGATAATATATTGATGAGTTTATAAGCTAGCCCTAACATGCTCATATTTAATAATGTTGTGGCTAAAAGATCAACGTTGCTTAAAATAGGTGGAAAATAGATTATAACCTATTATTTTTTAGACTTAACGTTGATTAAAAAAAGTAAAAAATAAATGATAACCCTATCAGATTTTAGACTTAAACGGAAAGTGACTTTAAAAATAAGTCATTTAATATCTTTATTCCGTGCATCGCACGGGGCACATACTAGTAATAATAATAATAATAATAATAATAATAATAATAATAATAATAATAATAATAATAATAATAATAATAATAATAATAACAATAATAATAATAATAATAATAATAATAATAATAATAATAATAATAATAATAATAATGAGTAAAACCAATAAATAGAACGTAAAAAATATAATAATTGAGAAGAATATAAACCCAAGTATAAACTCAATAGTAAAAGTTGACATGCTTGCATGAGCTAACAGAGTACATCACAGATATGGGGTTTAGTTTTAGCCCCTTGTGTTTCACAAAAATCTCCATGAAGATCAGTCTTAAAGCCTCTCCAACTACGCCTCCCATTTGGTAAATGACACCTATCCAGTTAATTTCTATCTCCACATAAGAAGCCACGAGCACCCCAAAATCGATTACTAACATTATGAGAAGCATCCTGCCACTGATCACTTCAAGTCCAGCTAATACACCAAGTATGAACACGGCAACGGGCACTACAAATGTCACCAAAAGTGAAAATAATTCTAAATTAAGTTTGTAATTTCCGACTGTTTGCAATCATAATTCACAAATTGCGCCCCCAACCAAATAAAGTGCCTAGTTTCAGAAACTTAATGGAATTATTTTAAACAATGTACTGATTGCTTTCAACATCTGAGCAAATGTAACCGATATGTAGAGGTAAGCAGTGTTCCCAAGCCAAAGTGCCATAGCAAACATTGCACTAATCGGGATGACAAAAGTAATATATCTGCACATCCAATGCCCAGTTTGTTCAGTGACATGACATCACAAGATAATGGCACACAACAACAATTAGTGTTGTAACTAAACGGGCATAATAATAACATATCCAAGCTGGCATCTTGCATCTTCTCCTTCTTTGACTCACTTGCTGACCAGTGGTTTAATGTATTTTTTTGTTTTCAAAGGCTATGTTAATGAAACTTATATGAACAATCAATCAATTTCGAGAGGCAAAGGGAAGCTAATAGTGAATTAGTTCATCTAAGAAAGTATCCATCATGCATCAAGGACAAGAATACTCACATATCCATAGTCATTCCTTGATCAACTTTCATAGTCTGGAAAATGTTATAATGAATGTGAATGCTCCACAATAAGCAATATCCAAGTATTGGAACTTCAATCATGATTTAGTTACCTTGAAGACTTTGGTAAGCATAAAACACAGAACAAAGGAGTAACCATGTGGAGCAGGGTCATTCCAAGAGGGCAAGGAAAATTCATTTATGTCGATGATAAAGCCCACTGCATTTAATTAATTTCTTACGAACTATATTAGCTACGTATGAATGGTTAGTCAACTGCCCTAAAGAATACAACCCAAACGACTATCCTGGTAAAACAAACATCAAGAAGTGACATCAGCACTCTTAATCCAACGTATCTATAGTCACGTGAGGATCTATGTTAGAATAGAGATCAATGGTTCACTGAAGCATGAACAAGGATTTCATTTTGCACCAAAAAATATATAATAAATAAATTAATAGACATGGAATAGAAAGAGACTGCCACTTGCAAGAACTTCAAAACTTAACATAGAGCATTCTAAAGTGGGATAAAAATCTGCGAAAAAGTCATTACTCAGTTTGAAGCAATGTTTGTTAGTACATAGCGGAATGTCCTGGCTCGGTATAAACGAAACCAAAAAATGTTGAAAATATTCAAGGGGTTTGAAAACGGCAGAAAAAATATCTGCCTCTTCCTTCAAACTACTTTTAAATGATGTCATCATTACTATATGAATTCGTAACATTTTAATTCTTATGTGTCAGTACCTATATTTTAGCAAGTGTTCCATCTATTACATTCATAACTTACATGTTTGCATATATTATTTTACTTAAAGAATATAATCATGTGCTTACTCTTTAAGAAATAAATAAAGTATTTACAGTTACTATTTTACATAATAACATAAAGATTCGATAAACTAATGATAATTTAAAATCATTTCTTCATAGCAGATATCATAAGAATTACATCTAAGCCATATGATAACTAAACTAAACCAAACCCATTCCCATTTTTGCCAGAAATAACCTCGAAACACATATTTCTACACAATTCTAAACCACCACATAATGACTCCACTATTGGCACAAGTTTTCAAAAACTAGCATTGACCTCATATGTCATGGGAACATGACCCCATAAGTTATTCCAACATTCGGCAAATCACCTTGTGCTTTTCTACTCTCTTTACATTTAAAAAACAAGACGAAACACACATACACACAAAGCCTATAAAAGGACAGCTAGCAAAAAGTACAAATGACAAGAGCGACAAAGAAACCAAATCTAGGTCCCTAATCTCAATAAATGCCAAATGTCGTGCAATCAAATCTTGATCGATCTCTGGTTACAGACACATATGACATACCTGCCATTCATTGCATTTATTTTCACACCATCCCTTAAGACCAAAACCTAGTTATGCAACAAACAAACTCCATAGCAATAATGTAACTGTATAGCAAGCTCTCCTAGCAATATGCAACAATCCACCATACACATTAGTAAGTCAACACTTCAAGCTATGATTGTTGTAACATCTAGTTTAATCCACTGTGTACGTAACCACATTTCTAACAGATCATATTCACCATTAAACACACATTAAAACGGAAAAAAATGAAATGAGTAAGTGGAGTAACAGTTGGACCTTGTTGAAGAAGATCCGACCGCTGGATAGCGCGATGTAGAGAAGAATGTAGCTGTACGTTACAAATTCTTCGGTCGCCCATTTTCTGTCGCGATCGGCCATTGTTGAGCCAGTGATGACTGGTGATAACTCAGTAGCTGAAGGATGGGAGTTGGGACAACTATGTTTTGCTGGAGCTACTACTGATAAAACGTGTCGTGGTCATGGGCAAGCGCAAGCGGGCCACAAACAAGCGGTTTCTTGGTCCGTGCGAACTTGGGCCATTTTGATGACCCGTTTGGGCCTTAGACCAACGTGGCCCAGTACTTTGGTTTGTTAGACCTCGTTGGCTAGGATTAGCGTATGTTTGATAAATTAACCTCAAAAAGTTTTTTTTTTTCTTCTCCTTGAAAATTAGGATCGATAGTGTTCTCATTTCACATCATCAGTGACTTGAACCCATGATCTATTGACATATATGAAACGTTTTACCATCCAAGTTGTGCTTCGTTGTCAAAAAGTTATTGATATATGTTTGTGCCCAGGGGCAAGTGCCAACGGGCCACAAACTAGCAATTTCCTGGTTCGTGAAAATCTATTTGAAAAAAACTACCTGGCAATTCATTAGATATCTGATGGCTCATAGCTAATAAACTAATTTCAAGATTATAGCTTATTGTTTACGGGTATAGCATGATACAACTAGTTGATGTAATAAAATTGTGTGATAAAATTAGTTGATAAGTCATATGAGATGAAAGTTTCAATGCGTTTTTAGAAAAGTTACCTAATGAAGTTTATGAGATAAAATTGAAACTTTTCTACAATAACTATGTCCCACCAAACCAATATATTAAACAAAATAAGTTTATAACCTATGCATACCAAACACGTAGTTAAAGGGAGATGTAATCATTCCAATTTTTTTGAAACATTATGAATATGTATTTAATTTGGACTTTATAAAATCTCTAAAAGTTTTGATGTATTCATTTGAGATTTCAAGAAATGATGAAGTATTCAATTATTTGTCACATAGATTTGTCTCTGTGTTTTAAGTTTCACTAAATATTTCAAATATACTAAATATACATAAAATTCAAGATAAATAGATAAACATTCTTAAAATTTAGCCGATTTGTGAAACATTGTTTGAGTTGAGAATCAAAGTTTCCATAAGTTAGTTATAAATAAGTCGAACCAAGCTCGAGCTTATGATACTTAGTTCAAGGTCGAGCCAAGGTCCCTCGCAAGTCAAATTGTGTTAGAAGTTTGTAAAAAAGTACATACAGTTATTATTTATCAAACCTACAAAGTATTAATGAGCCAAACTCAACTTCACTCGTTGATTAAACGAGCTCAACTTAGCTCATTTATAAAATAAGTTGAACTCACAAGTAGCTCGTTAATCACTCTACAAATCATTTCAAGAAAAAAAAAAAGACATCATAGTCATAGTCCCTCCTACATATAAATGCAAAGTTCTCTGAGCACATGTGTCTATTTCTGGTGCTTCGTAATCCTATGTTTCAAATATTGGTGTTTCGTAACTCTACGTAAAAATTTTTTATGCTTCGAAGTAGTGCATGTACATCTAGACTTACATCCATGAAACACCAGACTAATTCAAAGTATAAATATATTTTAAAAGTTAATAATGTTTAATATTTGTTATTAGTTTTTCATATGCGATGTATCGAATCAGTCATTTATTGGTGAGTTTCGATTTGATATTCATACTTCATGTATAAAATAAATTAATAATTTTATTTATCTTTATTATAAAAATAAAATATTCTATTAATAATTAAAAGTTAATATAATTATACATCAATAAAAAAATATCTTTAATGTTGTGAGATATGAACTAGACAAATTATTGTAATATAAGATGTGTAAATTGTACAATCAAAGAGTAATATTTTAAATAAATAATAATAATGCAATATTTGCTAAAAAAAAGTATTTAAAATTTAAATAAAAAACTCATCTTTTTTTATTTTTGTAGAGTCCAAGTATGTATATATATATATAT